CACGCTCTTCCGATCGAAACGTTAGCCAATAAAACTTTTATACCATCTTGGTTACGGCTACAGCAATACCCTATAGAGAACTTCAAAGTATGCCAAGATTCATCGAGGGTCGAACCTGGACACTTATTTTCGGCACCATTGCTGCTCCCAACGTTACCGCGTAAAGGGGCGGTCCGTAATTAAGTCAGTGAATCCTAAAGCCTTTGTTTGGAGTTAGGGCCATAATTTAGCGCACCAGTCGTTAGCTACAACCTTTTTAGCTTTTATCTGCCGCATAGCTGAAATCTGCTGTCTTTTAGAGTATCAGGGGATGGAATCAGATGCGAGAAAGAACTTTATTAGCCTAAGCACGAGGTGATATCCTGGATGAGTCGTACCTCTATAGGACGCCTGTATATCATGACCACAGGGCTGACACCCTGTCTAAGGTGAGTAGCAACAATTATCGACGAAAACTTTGATTGGCTTTGGAGGGGCTGTCTCACTTATGCTTGTTCTTTTTCTAGTCCATTTCAATTAAAAGATGTCATTTTGTGAGACTTGTAGACTCTCGCAAAGCCCCGAAATGGTACAGGCGAGCCATTTGATCACTGCAATTTATAGGCCTTTACGAGGTTCTTTGTACTGTCTTCCTTGAGTACCTGTTGGTGCCCCCACCAAGCCAAACTGCGCTAATCTTATTTTTCAAAGATTGCTTTCTATAACGTACCTGAAACCACTGAGTATGAGGAGCACATAGCGTCGCACCGCCTTGTATAGCCACGAATTGATCGCCTGACAGTACACTCTGAAATTCGTTCAGTTAGAGAAAATGCTGGAATTAAGTTCCAAATTGTATGATTTTGGTCACGAAACTCAAACACAGATTCCGCGATAATCGGATGGGCGGAGACCCATGTTCATTGTGCTTTCCTCGTTATCGCTTCTACCCTGTTTGCTGTTGGTGAAGGCGTCAGACGGAAGAAAGTGAGGGGTTCGGGAGTCTCCGCCCATCCAGCACTCGCGGATTCTGTAGACAACGAAGAGTCTGTAATGGCGGACTGCACTCACCCTTGTCAAAAGCGATCCGATCACACCTCCAACCAATTGCGATAGGATGTAGAATAGGGCTTCCATAGGTGAAATCTTGCCAGCTGCCGCTAGCCCCACCGTAACGGCTGGGTTTACGTGACCTCCACTGGAAACATCCTTATTAGGTTATTTTGGTCCGATTTTCTTACTGTGACTATACTCCATATCCCGAGATGGAGAGGGTGTGGCTGGGCATTTCATTTGAACATGCCGTTACGTTTGCCGCTGGATATTTCCATTCAGGAAAACTGTCGTTCTGTCTTGTTCTGGACAAAGCCTCACTACAATC